TCATTCTCAGCTACATAAGAATAAAAAAAGAGAAAAAATATAACAAAGAGAAGCATGAGATAAGATTTGGGGGGTGTTGGGTGAGACCTACCAGACTGGAGGTGCCAGGCCATAGAGAATGTCTGATCCCCTAAAACTGGAGCTACAGAGGGTTGTAACACTCTGTGTGGGTGCTCGGAATTGAACCCAGGTCCTCTGATAGAACACCGGGGGTTTCATCCCCTGAGCCATCTCTCCAGACTCAAGAAACTGTCATATGAGGAGCAACTGGCTGTACCCAAAGGCTCTCGTTTTCTATCCTGTCTTGGGCAGCAGCCATGCAGTGCCAGATCCTCTGTGGTCTTGGAGCACCTTGGAGACTGTAGAGGCTGCCTTTGCAGTGTGGCCCCACAGACCAGCTGTTTGTCTAAGGGATGGTGACAGCATACCCTTCTATTTGTCAGCCAAGGAAACAAGAGTCTGACCTTCAGTTGCTTAACCAAGGGCTATTTTCCCAGCTTGCAAGCCCTTGCCCAGTTAGAATGTGCTGAACAGAGCCAGAAGTGCATTATTGTAAACCCAAGGAGGCCATGTGCCCTAGCCCTCTGCAAAATCCCATCTGTATGTATTTTGCAAAGGCCAAGAGTGGACCTTTTCAAGTGTAACTAGGGAGCACATGGGAAAGTCAGCTCTGAGTTAACAGATGGGAGGTCCCAGGTAGGGCAGAGTTCACTGAGCTTGTGGGGGCTCCCTACACAGGGAACATTTGCCTGATTACATGCCAGTCACACTTGGTCTCTGGGTTAATGTTGCCCTCTGACTTGAGCAGACCACATCTCTCCACCCAAACTGGTGAGCTCCCAGATGAGAGGTTGGGAAAGGGGCCTGCTGGTCCTCCAGGCCTGCTTAGCTCTGAAATTGCCAAGCAAGCGCCTGAATGTTCCTCTGGCTCTATGCTACCCTGTGAATCCCAAGGGCTCCTGGTTATCGGCCCATCCCCACCCCCAACACCAGTGCCCACACTCATGGGGGTTGTGTTGGGTTACTAACCATCAGAGCATGCCTTTGTCTTTTAAGCCTCCTGTGTGTTGGGATTACAGGGTGTGCATCATCCTTCCTGATTCCTGGCTAAAGCATGTTTTCTTCATCAACCCTGCTCTCAAAGAAGGAGGAGGAAGAAAAGAAAGAAAAAGAAAGAAAGGAAGGAAGGAAGGAAGGAAGGAAGGGAGAGAGAGAGAGAGAGAGAGACAGAGAGAGAGAGAGAGAGAGAGAGAGAAAGAAAGAAACAAAGAAAGAATGAAAGAAAGAAGGAGGCACGATCTCATGTAGCCCAGGCTGGCCTTAAACTCTCTAGGTAGTCAAGGATGGCCTTCAGTCATGAATTCCAGATTCCCGTGTCTCCATCTCCCAAGTGCTGGTAGTACTGGCCTGTGCCACCCACCCTTCCCTTCTTTACAGAATGTGGCAGACCCCTTGCAATGTCCTTTGAAAACAAGGACTTTAATCTTCAGATAAAAGGACAAAATTAAATTCTATTTTTTAAGCGTTTTGTTGGCATGGATACAAATAAAGGAGAGAAGAGATCTGATTGGACAGTGAGGCAGGTCCTCTACATTATTCAACAGAGAACAACCTGGAAGCCTAGAGGCTGGAGACTGCAAGGTGCCATGGATATGGGCACAAGCCAGCAGACTGAGCCAGGACTGGTTTTAATCCCCTGGCTGGCTTTGCTGAAGACAGGCTGTTCCACAGAAATAAGCAGCAGCCATGAGGGGTCCTGCCTTGCCCTTGTCTGACTTAATTCCCATTTGGGCATCAGTTTACTTTAGTGCAAAAAACCCACAAAAATGCAAGATTGGCATCCATCATCAGGCAGCTTTTGTTCCTGAGGCCCTGCTGGGAGAGGCCTGAGGCTGGAAGCCAAGTTCTGTGGGGACACGATGCCTCTGTGATCTAGGCCTAGGGGTGATGGCCCTCTCTGAAAGGACAGCTTTGAGATGAGGCCAATCTCTATATAGGCTCCACAGTCTCTCTGGGCCATGCTTGTTTTGTCTAAATTACCTCCTGGTTTCCACAGACACCAAGCTGTCCTCAAATAAAAGCCCGTCTCCTAAACTGGGATAGTACGGATTAGGGGAATCAGGTGTCTTTTCCCGTCCTCTGCTGGCTTTATTTTATTTTATTTTTAAACAAGACCTTGTTAAGTAGCCCTGACTGGCCTGGAATTTCCCCCAAGCTTGAATTTTCTGAGCAACATCCTGGGGGAAACATCTGGAATAAGATGTAGGATACTGAAGAGTCCGTCCGCGTGGCAGGCTCTTTAAAGGCTCTAGTGATCGTTCAATTTGAAGCTGGGTATTTGGTTCATACCATAATCTTAGCACTTGAACATGGTAGGCTGAAGCAGGAGAATTGTCTAGAATTTCATGCCAGCCTGTAAGACTTTGACTTAAAACTAAAACAAAACATTTTAAATTTAAACTCACTGCTCAGGCCTTCAGAGAAAGAGCCCCATTTCCGGGATCTGAGTTTCAAGGTTCACACGTGGTTACACAGGAAGTCCCCTTCTCAGGCCCCCTGAGCCGTGGTTCTGCTCTCTCTTTCCAAGAGCACCTCTGCCCCACCCCCCAACCCCAGGAATGTGAGGCCTAACCAGACAGGATTATTGGCAGGAGCTGGTGGGTGATTCTGGGGATTCTGTGTGGAAAGGAGGTTCACCACCTTGGTCTCTGCATCATGAACAGACCTATGGTTAATTGTCCATGCCCTTTGGATTTCTGCACAACTCAGTGCTAAGTAGATCTGGAAGGAAGAAAGGGAGGGGGAGGGAGAGAGGGAGAGAAGAAGGAAGGAAGGAGGGAAGGGAGGATGGACTGATGGACTGGTGGGTCACTCCACTTATGCTTTGAAAGCTGCTTGGTGGTTCCCCGGAGCCCGGAGGATGCCTGCTTGGTCTGTGCCTAAAAGAGTTGGGAGAGGTCGTTCTTGGTAGTCAGACAGAACCCATACCGGTTGTAGACCAGCTACTCCCTGTGTCCAGTTTGACAACTGATACTCCTGGGACCCAGAAACGGCTTTGACATCCTGGGCCATCGGCTTAATGATGCTGGTGCCAGTGAGGATGTGTACCAAAAAGAGTTGCCTGGAGTCACTCGACCCCTCCAAGGCTGGGAGCTTCATACTCTCTTATGCTAGCAGCTTTGCTGTCTCCGTGGATCTTCTGCCATAATGTAGATAAGTGTCCAGAATACAGCTCAGAGGGTGGCAATGTGGCTTCTCAGGCTCTGGAGCCAGCAAGTCCCAAAGTAGGCAAACTCCCTACAACGATCTGCACTGAGATGGAGTATGGTAGTCAGGGCCCAGTATACTGAGCTGTCTCAGGCTTGTCCTCCAGTATCTGGTCTACCATAATCTCCTTGGATCAGTTGCCACCTTCCTGGTCATCCTTCCCAATATGACCAGCCCACCTTTCACACCCTCAGAAAGTACAGAGGCTCCTCCTCTGATGCCAGCGGTCCAGTACTGCTGAGGTGTGCAGGAGTGGGGAAGTGTGACCACACAGAATGTCCTTGCATTTGACGCTTGCCTGGTACCATTCACTGAGGATTTTGTAACCTATCCCCACCTGCCCTGGGTGAATGAACGCTCTCCCAGTACAGCCTGCTCCAGAATGTACCCTCTGTGGAAGGGGTGAGCCTGGCTTTTTGGTTCATAGCAAGCAGCCTTCTACCTGTCATGTGATTGGAAGGCAAGGCAAGTCCCTCTGTCTCCTGAAAGTGATGGGTAGAAAGGAGGACTGGGCTTGGCTGCCAGATCTAATCACAAGTCTGCGCCAAGCAGGACAGATGTCCTTTGTCTTGGCAGAGCTGTGGACAGTGCTGTGAAGGTGGGCCCGGGAAGTCTTCTGGTGGGGTATATGGCACTTGCTCAGAGCTGGCACCCGATGAGTAGGTTTGTCGGAGGCCAAGGTTCCAGAACCTCAAAGAGCAGCATTAGAACTGCCCGGGAAGTGTGATGACTGTGTACTTGGTGCTGACCCTGGACATCTCTGTAAGAAAAAGCATTGAGTTTGGGCAGACCTCCAAAGCAACTAGTTCCCACTGAAGAAGTGCTTCTCTGTCGAAGCTAACAGGAAGAGAGAGCTACAGTCTGATTTTGTTGTTGTTGGGTTTGGGTTTTGTCTTGTTTTTAGAAAGGATCCCCTCAGATGGCACAGAAGGAAAGTTCCTGTGTGTTAAAAAAAAAAAAAAAAATGTGACCTTCATAAGGGATCTTGGGCCCTAAGACAGTCAGCCCAGCTGGGCAGCTAACTTGCTAGTCTCTCTTGGAGATCCAAGCCTGTGACACCCTCAGTACGTCCCTGCCTGGCCTGGCCACAGCCTGTTCAGCTAAGCACCCGTCCAGGGAGTGATCAACGCCTCCCTGGAGTCCAGAGGAGTAGGCCGGTCTCTCCTCTGGGGCAGACGTGAGAGCCAGAGTGGGCCCTACTGAGCCAACAGGCGGCCGTAGCCATACGAAGCGCATTAAGTATTAATAATTTCCAGTTGTTTGCTCGTTGTCTCTCCCCCCCTTCCTCCCGCCCCAGGCCTCTGCAGGCTGGGACTGGGCTCTGGCTCTGGGCTGCCAGATCTAGAGATACTAGCACCTCCCGGGGGCCGGGGGACAGGACAAGGGACAAGGATCCCGCGCACCCCTGAGACAGGGTGGGGGACCGGACAGAGCCCGGCAGCCTTGCCAGCGGGCGACGCGGCTTGCCAGGGGGAGGACGGAGGGGGCGTCGCGGGAAGATCGGGTCGCGCGCGGGCAGGCTGGGCGGCTCGCGGCGGGAGC